TGCATACCCCACCCCCCCTCCCTTCGCCCGCCGCCCCTGCTCAACCCGTGCTGTGCACCCGCCTGCCCGCGCGTCCCCACAGGCCATCGGCCTGACGACAGGCAACACCCTGACCGCCCCCGGCTTTTACATGCTGGCCTGCACCCTGCTGTCCATCGTGGCGGGCGTCGCCATCACCATCCTGGTGCCAGAGTCGAACAGGTCGCCAAAGGACCCGGCGGCCGACCTGGCGGTCGCAGTGGAGCAGGCGTGATCTGGCGCGATCTGTTCAGCGAGTCACAGGAATCCGTGTCATTGATTTGCGACAGGCAGCTACGTTGGGTGCTGCCCTGTTGTCGGGTTATGGTCGGGTTCTACGTTTGTTTTGCGGTGTGTTTGTGCTGGATCGCGCACCCGCACCCCGCTCATCTTGCTGACGAGACTGGTGGGAGCCCTCATGAATGGATCTCTCAAGCCGGCGCCCTGCCAGGCAGCCGGCGCTCGTGCCATCCGCCCCTGGGCGCGTGCGCCCCGCTCGGCGCGCGCGCTGCGCCCGACTCGGCTCGCGTCCCCCTTTTCAACTTGATTTGCTGCACATCTGTCTCTCGTTTGGTCGCACGCAAGCTTTCTAGCACGACATATGCAGTCAATATGGGGGGACAGCTCTGCGTGCCTGCCACCCTGCTTTCAAGCTCCTCTACTCTTGTTGTGCCAAGTCACAGTGGCATGTGCCATGCTGTTTGTGCTGATCGCAAGCCCCTGCACCCTGCCGGTTTGTCCCCGATGCTAATCCCACCTGTTGTATCAGCAGGATCGCTCGGCCTCCACCCGCGTGAGACGCGCCACTCGCTGGCCCCCCCACTCCCCGTTACCAGCATCTTTCGCTGTCGTCATGCATGGCTGAGAGCCTCCCCTCGAGCCACGGCTTGCACATTGCCTGCCGCCGCCCGCTGCATCCTCGGCTTGAGGCGGCGTCAAGGCAGAGCGCAACTTGTGTACGCAACCAGAATTCAAATTCTCCCCAAAGTAGAGGAGGAACCGCTTTCCCGGCTTGATGTCTCTGCTGCTGACCTTCAACCCCATGCACGCGGGTAGCTGTCTGCTTTGTCTCGCCGCTTGGCGCAAAGGATTGGGCCAAACGGCCTGCTGCGCGTTGCTTGAATGTCGAGCAGGCACCGCACCCTTTGCTGAGATTGACGGCTGGATAAAGGGGTGGAGGCAGCTCATGTTGTAACCGCCCTGCATTTGTAGGTGTATATAAGTACAGGGTCATAAACGTGGTCTGTGAAGTGTGCTGCTGCGTGTGGCATGCTGGACCGGCTCTGCCTTGTCCGATGCACCCGCTGGTTCGGCATGTGAGAACGGCCTCGACCGCCGCAGCTGCCCTGGAAGCTTTCAAGTACGCCGCCAATTTTGGGTACATGGATGATGGGCGGTGTAGTACCGCTGCCCAGAGCAGCAGCCAAACTCTAGCAGTCAGCAGTGGTCAACACTTGACGAGTCACCATATGCACGTATTGTGTGTTGCTGGTGCAGAAGCCCCCACGCATCTATATTCTAACGTGTTGATCCTTCAGTGAAAGCATGCACGCCACTTCGAAGCCGCTGGAAGGCTGCATGACGACTGATGAAGCGAAGTGCGGGAGCACGGACCATGCATACAAAGCCCTCGTCATCCTCATTGCATTCTGAGTTTGTTTGCAATACGTCAGCTTGATACTACAGCTTGAGATCTCTTGCATTCATGGCACACACATTAGAGAGAACCCCGCTTACGATCGACCTACCCTGGGAGACCGGCAAGGGCAGTTTAAAGTTGCGTAGTAAGAGGCGAAGGCGTCCCTCGCAGGCATGGGCCGCGCCAGCGGATGCCGACAACACTGCAAGGTGCGCCTCCAATGCGCATGCGCATCAACGCGTCAGCAGCGCTTGCTCTGCCTGCCTGCCTGCCTGCATGCATGCATGCATGCATTGAGCGGCTCCCAGACCAGGACCCGAACTGCCATGCATTTGCAAATGGCCATTCAGTTGCACCGCTGTGTTTCCCCTTTTCGTGCTTCACCTCGCTGACGCTCCGCAACTGCTGTGCCCCAAATGCATTGGCGTCCGACCCGGAACCCGCCTCCCCGTCCCCTGCCTTGCAAAACAGGTACGCAATGTACGGAGCGGGCATGGTGTCCGGCGCACTACTGTTGCGCTTCGTGCGCCACAGGCTCTGCCGCCTGCCGGTCGTCGGACTGCTGGCGAGGCCCATCCTGGGTGAGAGCCTCACGCGGGCGGGGCGCAGCACTTACATCGTGCTGCCCGCGTCCCCCAAGTCTTCTGTTATTGCGTTTCCAGTCGGCAGCTTTTGGGGCGATTGCTGAAGGCCAAGAGCTGCCGCAGGCAGCGGCAGCTGTAGTTCATGCACGCATATCTTGCAAGCAGCACACGGATTCTCACTCGCCGCGCACTCCTACGCCGCACTCTCAACCCCGCCCCCGGCCATGTTCTGCCATCCTTCTCAACCGCCAGCGTTTGTGCCCTGTTCGCTTCTGGGGGCGCTGGTTGGCGCCACGGCGGTGTACACCTACGAGCAGGGTGACATCAGCGCGGTCAGGCGGAAGCTGCTGCCCTCCGTCAAGCGTCACGTGAGGAGCGGCGTGGCGGCTGCTGCCCGGCTTTTGAACCTGCAATGGGCATGGGCAGGGCATCTTAATAGCTGGTGCAGATCAGCAGCACGAGGCTGCACACCCAGTGCATTATGCGCCTTGCTATCTGCATGCACGCATATTACCCCTCCCCACTCCAAACCCATCACACGCCCAATTATGACTCTTGCAGTCAGGATCAGCACACATGCTGCTGTCAGCGCTCCAAGACTGGTCAAATCTGCACGCGCAGTTGCCAGCGCCATGATAACCCCAATTCACCCGATCGACCCAACTTTCTTGAACGCTTTGTAGGTGACCCAGGCGCGGGACGAAGTCACGGCGGTGGCAGCTGACCTGCGGGGCGAGGCCCACCGCCTGCGCCACGAGCAGGAGAGGGCGCTGCGGCGCCTTGCGGCAGAGGGCGACCGCGCCGCGCCCGCGCTGCGGGAGGCGGCAGCCGAGGCGGAGCGCGCGCTCGCGCCAGTGCTGCGCGGCGCGTCGGCGGCGGCGGAGCGGGGGCGGAGGGAGATCGAGCGGAGCCTGCGGGCGCTGGAGGACGCGGCAGCGGCCGCGTCGGCGGGCGGCGGCGGCGGCGGCGGCGGCGGCGGCGGCGGCGACAGCACGCAAGCGGTGGTGCGGCGGCGGCACGGGGCAGCTGCTGAGCAGTCGCTCGCGCGGCGGTTCAAAGTTGAGACCGAGAGCGAGTATTAAAAGTAGTTTGGCAGCTCGAAGGAGCAGCTGACGGCTGTGGTGGTGTATGATGTCGTTACTCATGACTACCTCAATTCAAGTGAAACCGCCGCTGGCTCATGGCACTCCCACATTTTTACACACATGTGAGTGCACATGCCTATGCACAAACTTCAGCTGCAAACAGGCAAGTTTCAAGCTTTTGTGCTCCCCAATGGGCTACCTAAACCCCACTGAGTCGTCTTTTCAGCTGGTACAGTCAGCCTGACCGGCGGCATGCCGTCTTTAGTCACGTGCGCTCTGTTCTGTAAACTGCTGCACACCTTACTCTGCTGGCGAGCCGGAGTGCTTTGAACTGCCACTGGCGGGCACTGAGCCCGTGCAAAGTTTGCGCCGTGCAATTGCTGCCGTGCGGGCTGTGTTGCCGAAACCTGTGGCTTGCCTCTCCCAGTGGCAGCTCCAACCGCATGCTCAAAAATCATCAGCATCAAGTGTGCGCGACACTGGATGCTGCAGCTGTCGGCTGGCAATGTGCAGCCGGCCTGATCTCGGGGCTGTCTGTGCTGCTGGTGGTTTTCTGGTGCCCTGTTGGCGGCGGACGCGCCATCCTGAGGATGCAGCAGCCCCGGCTGTGTTGGATAGCAGCGTATTAATAAGCACCCCTATCAGGATACCAGACAAACATAGCAAGGCGACACGTTACAAAACCGTCGGCGTCGCTGCAACCAAAAGAACAAACTTATTGCCTTTGGACGGCAGGCGCGGGGCCGCTGCAGGTTGCTTGAACTTGACCAAAGCAACTCAAAAATCATCGTCTCAGCACTGCGCACGTGGGGGGCAGTCGAATTGTGGGAGGGCGGGGGCTGCGAGTGGTCGACGGCAGCAACCAGCGGGGCCCCTAGGCGAGCGCGAGCAACGCGCTTCAGGCAAGCAGGCGCGTCGGAGCACCTCCCAAACCCCTGATTTTGGCCCGGAGCAGCCAGCCGTGCCTCGGCAAGGCAGTTGCCTGGCCTCACATTTGGGGCCGAACCAAGCCAAGATGCCAACGTGCGCTGACGAATTGCAGCAGCGGCGCTCCAACGGCAGCCTGGCGTTCCTTCGATTCAAGGGGATGAGAGTGATTGCAAAGTGAATGAGTAATGCAGCCCGGATGAGACGAGAAAGGGGGGACAGAGAGGGTTCCGGGGGCCTGCAATCATGTGCACGGCAGTCAAAAGGGAGGAGGAGATTGGCCGCGAGAGCTTGTGTGCCGGCGACTGAGGTCTGAGAGTGTCGCGGCCCTGCCGGCAGCAGACCACCTTGGTGGTGCACTGGCGGTGGGGGCGGGGCGGACAGAAGGGAGCCTCTCAACTAGCAACACACCACGATTAAAGCCGAGCCACGAGGTGGCCCGGGGGGTGTGGAGCCCGTGAGGGGTTGGGTGAAGGAGGGGTGAGTGTCCCAGCACTGCCGACACACCCAATTATGACCGAGTCACACGGTCTCGGGGGGTGCGAAGGCAGTGGGGGATGGGGAGGCGGGGGGAGGGTGCCCTAGCACTGACGACACACCCAATTATGACC